CTGCCTTGGGCGAGGAACATCGAGAAGCCAGGGACCTCTGCCACCATTCTGGCTAGACAAGCACTCTCAGGATACAAGTGATTATGTACCTCCTAAGGTCCACTTCAGACACACAAGACCTCCTGCATATCTGGCCTTAACTCTAAAACAAAGAACGACCATAATAGAAGAACAGAATCAGATGAAAATATGACCATCACATTCCTGGTTCAAATGTAAACACTGTCTTTTAAAATTATGCTTTCTGGGATGAATTTTCAACACAATGCTGCTTCTCTCACCTGGGCTTCTTTACATCAAAAATGTAGTTGTCTATGATGGTGCCTGCCTGTGTCTCCTTCTATAGTTCTCACGCTCTTGCCTTTTCTTGAACAGCTGAGGGGGAAGCCGTATGCTGGACCAGAAGCACCTAGAGCCAAGCATGACTCCCGCAGACATTAGGCTGTGTGCCCAAAGAGGGAACCCATCACTGCAAGATGCACACAGTTATTTTCCCCGCACCGGCTGCACCACTTTAGTGATCCCTACGTCAAAGTCGAAAGTCGCCAAGTGCAACAGCCCACTGCCAAGTCAGTCCTTCTGCAGCTCAAACACCAGGCTCTAAAAAACGAAATTAAGCCATTAAGTTGTCAATCAGAAAGCATATATTACACCAAGTACCACAAAATTGCAGAGATGAGCTGGTTCTCCTCTTATTTCTTTTGTAACACAATTAAGATGTTATCAGGCCAAAGTACAATATTGCGGTATCCTGGTCTACGTGAAAATCTTTGAAAGTTGCATTTATTTGCCACCAGAACCACAAGCTAATAACACAGCCTCCATGCAGGCAGTCCCCATCTGCTGCTTTTTCTAAGTTTTGAACAAATCCATGACACTGTGCACTGTACAGTGACACTGTCAGTGACACTGACACTGTAAGGGTATCAACAATCCCCGGACACCATTAACAGCCATGTCTAGTGCCTAAAATTTATACTCCACCAGCTACATCCCCTTCCAACCTGCCCTTCGATATGCTTCTTTCCTTCTTCATTTTCCTTGCAATATAAAGCACTTATGTCCTGAAAATACATTGTCAACTTACAGAACTGATTCAAAAGAAACAGATAAATAAGAAAGACATTTCAACCAAACTTCAGACCTGAGTGTAAGACATAGGCCCATGCAATAGACTAAAAGCACACACTGTCCAACTTACTCACTGTATAACGTGCTCTTGACTAACTCATAGAAACACAGAATCGTAGTGGTTGGAAAAGACCTTTAAGATCATTGAGTCCAACCATAAACCTAACACTGCCAATTCCACCTCTAAACCACATCCCTAAGCACCTCATCTACCCACCTTTTAAATACCACCAGGGAAGGTGACTCCGTCACCTTCATAGGCAGCCTGTTCCAGTGCTTGACCACCCTTTCGGGTAGCTCTCTTCTCCAATGTTCTCTACTACTAGACAGCCTCTAATAAACTCACCACTCTGCAACATATTGCGGAGCCATAAGGTAAAGGAGGAGAAGGCTACAACAGTCAGCAACTCCCATTGGTTCCAGGAACGTGCATGACAGGGAGATCTTGCATGCAGCCATGTGGAGGTCCTACAAAGCATCACCACCTACAAGGTGATCATCTGCTTCCGAAGAGCCATTTATAACACTTTAATAAGGTTTGTACATGGGGTATGGTGCAAGTGCCAAGCTGAAGACCAAGTGCATATCATAGAATCATAGAATGTTGTGAGTTGGAAGGGACTCACAAGGATCATCAAGTCCAACTCCTGTCCCTGCATAGGACAATCCCAAGATTCAGACCATGTGTCTGAGGGACTTGTGCAAATGCTTCTTGAATATTGTCCAGCTTGGTGTCACAACCACCTCCCTGGGGAGCCTGTTCCAGTGCTCCACCACCCTCTGGGTGAAGAACCTTTTCCCAATGTCCAACCTAAACCTACCCTGGCACATCTTCCTGCCATTTCCCCTGGTCCTATCATTGGTGGCCAGATAGAAGAGATCAGTGCCTACCTTTCCTCTTCCCCTTGTGAGGAAGTTCCAGACTGTGATGAGATCTCCTCTCAGTCTCCTCCAGGCTGAACAAACCAAGTGACTTCAGCTTCTCCTCATACAGCTTCCCCTCTAAGCCCCTCACCAATTTAGTGGCCTCCTCTGGACACTCTCCAGTAGCTTTATACCCTTTTTATCCTGTGGTGCCCAAAACTGCACCCAGTACTGGAGGTGAGGCCGCACCAGTGCGGAGCAGAGCAGGATGATCACCTCCCTCGCCCGGCTCGCCATGCAGTGCTGGATGCATTAACGTATGCTTTTGCACTGACAGATCCTGAAAGCTAGAAAAAGAAGAAAAGTCCGCCACCCCATGCCATCCTTGATTCTTCTGTCTGAAGGGAGGATCCTAAAAGCCGTGTTGGCAACTTCACGTTAGCTTTTCGCTCACTGTAACCAGTCAGAAGGTTTTGCCTGTGTTTAATAATCCCATGGCTCAAAGGCACCAGCCGTTTACCAGACAGACTGGCAAAAGCCACCCTGGGGTAATATTTTGCACATCTTCTTCCATGTGTACATTGCAAATAACACGTGGCAGGACATGGCATCACATGCATTCAAACTCTGGAGCTTTTGTTGATAGGAAACCTCAATAAACAACAACTAAACGGCTATCTATAAGAAGCATCTTTTCCTTTTAAAGGCAGCCAGTGTTCATAACCTGAGTTTCTTGTGTTTCTAACCATCGAGAAACAGCTCCAGCACTCGCCTCATCTGGCCAATCACTCCTGGTAACACCTGTCTTTTCACATTCTCAGTTTTATTCATTATTTATGTTTCCCTTTACACAATACACTCGCAGGACAATACATCTCCAGCATGCTTACGGATTTGATCCAAAGCTCACTGGAGTCAACAGAATGACTTCACTGGCTCTGCAGTAAACTGAGGGCCCCAGTTCTGCAAAGGAGCTTCCAGCCTGAGGAGGGACTTACGCACAAGTTAGGCATCCCAGCCCAGAAGTGCAATCACAAAAATCCCTAACCCTTTAGCTGCTCATCTTTTAACCAGCCAAGGTCTCAAAAAGTTTGAGCAGATTGCAGATTTTATTTTTCCCCAGTTATCTGTTTCATGAAAAAAACCCAAAAACAACAAAAAACCAAACCACTGATAATCCCACTGTAGTGATCCATGACATAGGGGATCAGGGGATAGGTCTCCCATGCTCAAGTGTGGTCCCAACCACTAAGCACTGGAGTTATTTTTTGTGCATGTGTGTGTGTATGTCTGCATACATATGCATACTTGTGTATACATATGTATGTACGTATACACACACACACACACACACACACACATTTTTTGCTCCCCCTTCTGGCCCCATGAAATCTTGAATTTTTTTTCTTCTTGGTGGAAGCAGGGGAGAGCAGGAGAACAATCCCGCCTCCAGTGTGACTTGCAGCCAGGGATCTGCAGGACTCCTCTGGGAGGTGTGCAATGTGGAGTCCTGCTGAGCTAAGGGCCCCAAAGCCTTACTCCCTCTGTTACAGCAGCACTTAAATGTCCTCCCCGGACACGTACACCCTTTAGTCAGGCAGGT